CGACATCCGTCATACATAATTTCTATTTCAATTTCCTCATTATTCTTTTTACAAATACTTTTTTTATATATTCGTTTTAAAAAAGTTTCAATAATGATCTTATTTATATTAAAGAATAATATTATTTTTACTATAATAATATTCATTAATAACTTTATAAATTATAGTAGTGGTTAAACTTATATGTATGAATCTTAGATTTTTTATTAACATTTTATTTGAATCGTATTAAATCTTAAGGAGCGAGAGAGAGAGAGAGAGAGAGAGAGAGAGAGAGAGAGAGAGAGAGAGAGAGAGAGAGAGAGAGTTTAATAAAAAACGATATCAATTATATACTAAATTTATAATATTAAGTATTATGATCAATCTATGGTTGAAATATATATTGTAATAAATTGTTTTCAATTGTAAAAAAGGATAGATGCATTAATCATACTTCAAATGGGTAGAAACATTAAATACGCCCAATCATCACTAGCAAAATCCATTAGTTAAGTCAAATATACAAAGACTCGTACGTAGGCGAAAATGTAAAATCCTCATGTACAATACGAATTTTCCAAGGAAATCGAAGAAAAGTTCAAAACTTCTTTGAACTTCTTGGACAAAAGTCATCACGTCACACTTCGTAATGATTTAAATATATTGGGCGTTTCGATTTATAATACATATTGCTCAGCTTGCAAGTGCGTGTCAACTTTTATCCTTATTCACATCAAAAGATGATCCTGCAACTCGTTAGAGCGTACATTAGTCAAGAAAATCGTGACTAACTGGCCTCTTTTAGCACAGATTCGCATCGCTCTCACTCGGGCAGCGCATCGGTCAGATCTTACAAGTGAAGAAGAACGGTAGTTCAAGCTGACTTAGAAAAAGGAGCTTGTGAAAAAGAGAAAAAGAGCCACGGGTAACAAGTCTTGGAACGAATTGCAAGGTTCTTGCCTTTTTAGAAACAAAAAAAAAAAAAAAAAAAAAAAAAGAAAGAAAGAAAGAAAAAAAAAGATCTTCCGAATATAGAAAGAGCTCCGTCTTTTTTCCTGCGCATTCACCCGCCCGTGCAAATCGTATTTCTATTTTCTTCATTTTCTCCTTTTACTGTCGTTCTTTGGCACGAGACCGCTGTTAAATGTCAATTTGCGTTGAATCGATAATGGTCATGCTCATCTTACGAAGTTTTCGTACTTTTTGGCTAAAATTTATGGAAATCATTCCAATGATAATAGCACTAAGAAAAATATCTTTTTAAGAAATTTGACACTTTTTATTGTTGCATAGTGAGAATTATCGTTATGAATTTTCGCTTCACGTGGTTTTTCCATTTTGACGATTTTCATTTTGCCAGCTAAAAGTAATCAAAAAGACAATGATAACGATGCTTTTGTTTATAACTGTAGGGGATATATAATTGGCAAGATTATCTATTTGACTATTTACAACAGCCGTGATTTCCGAATTAGACTTGATAAAATGACAAAAACAAACTAGAAAAGTTAAGCATGACACTAATACCTGTCTAATGCATTTCAATGTTAAATTTAGTTACAGTACTCGTTTACTCGTATTCAGCATCGTATCAACTAATTGGTAAGTAAACATACAAAGTTGCGAAGCCAGATGGAAACTAAAACGACTTGTTTAAGTTTACATATTATTTTCATACATTTTGTTAATGAAATTTTGATTACGTATTTAGTTAATTGCACGTGGTGATTGCGTTTAAATCATTTTTCAATATTAAAAATGATTTGTATTATTGTATATTTCGTGTAATAAATTTTATTTCAGCGATTGAAGATTAATTGATTTTGATTTGTATTTTAATGCTAGTAAAATATGAAAAATTGTAAAGCAAACATTTACATATAATTAAAAATTACGAGTAATTAAAAACAGTTTCATTAAAAATGTCATGTGTATTAAATCAAGCATTATCATTTACATTTATAAATATCAAATTAATTTACAGTTTAAATACCGTATAAAACAAATTTCAATCGTCATTCGTGAATTTGAGAAACAATCAAGATAAAATCAAGTTTGTGGCTACAGTTATCGATAGCGGAATTGTCCTTTCATTTTCTTATTGTCGACTTCAAATCTTGAGAAATAATTAAAATCAGACTAACACTTATTTCTGTTTCTTATTTAGATAATATAAAGTTAGATTTGCGTTTATAGTTAGATACTTGGATTTTTAGGATAACCTAAATAATTATTTATGAGCTTTGATGTATAAATGATAGTTTAATGGTAATTTACTCTTCTCGTTGATTTTATCTCATCCAATATTATCCAACACGTAATATCCAATGTCATTAATATTATCAATTATCACGAATTCCATTAATAAGCAATCCTTATTACATATATATTAGAAAACTTCAAAATTTTTTTTTTTTTTTTTTTTTTATAAGATATTAAGGGATGATTGGCTTATGTGCTATTAATAACATCACTAATCGTTACGTTCATTCCAAAAAATTCAAAGTCATTATACCAGATGAGCTTGAAAGTACACTTTTCGTTAGAAAACCAAACTGTAAAGCAATTTTGAGAACACGTTAAGTCATACCTCAGATTCATTCTCTACGTGCACCAGACATATAACTCACGGTCCATATCCGAAAACCGTTTAAAGGACAGAACGCGAAAGCATAGAGAGAGAGAGAGAGAGAGAGAGAGAGAGAGAGAGAGAAGCCTATCGATAAATCTTTCGCCGAGTCCAAGGATTCCTCCGGCAACAGTCTATTCGGAGAGCTCGGAAAACATGGATCCACAGTTACGCGTCAGTAGGCTGTAATCGAGAGGATCTCGAGAGGCTGCTGCCTCCCCGCAGTCACGGTAAGCTCAATGACAAAACAGAAGATGCACACGAGCGATCATTGCGCGACGGCCGTCGTTTCGCTTCGGGGGGTGGCGCCTTTCCGGGTCTACCTGTCCCGAGCCGGAGGGTGCGCCTCCTGGCCTCGAGTCTATGAATCTTCCGATTTTCCAGCCCTCGCCTTTCCCACTCCAATATTTTCGCGCGCACTCCAAGTTCTAATGATCCGATCCGTTTTGTAGAATGAGGTATTTAAATTTCTGTCAAAA